TGAACTTGTCGGTGAATTAATTGTCGGTGAACTAAGTTGTCGGTGAAGTGATTGTCGGTGAAATGAGCACCACCCAACTGAAATATGGTCAGTTAAAGTCGGTAATTCAACCATTACAAAGCATCACGTATTATTATTAAAAAATCGGTCTCATATTTGTTCGTGCCTAATGATAATTCAACAAGGCATTGTCTGTAGGCATTATTTTAAAGTAATACTCATGACTGACAATGCCAAATTCTATATCCAGTTTATTCCTTCACATTGGTACAATGATAGCATTGATGTTTCTAAAGAGCCTTTCTTGAATGCAGATAAATTTTATGAAGAGAAATCAATAGAAGAAACAGTTTCTCCTACTCCTTATCTGTGTGCTTTTAATCAGGATAATTGAGATTTTTTTGAAGAAAGTCTTAACTTATTTCAGCAAAGGAAGGTTTACAGAGAGTTACACAGTATTTACAAGAAAGCACTCAATAAAGCCTTGAAAAGCCAAATGAAATCAGGACAACTCATCGATCTTTTACAAGAATTTGCAGAAAAATTGATGAGTTGTCTAAAAACTCGTCTGAAGACTCATCTCAAGACTCATCTGAAGATGAAGTCAATAGTGATAAAGAAAATCAGGAGTTTGTACTGTTGAATCCTAAAAAAAGATGTAGAAAAGGTTAACCGGTAGGCACTAAACGTCTTAAATCAGCAAGTGAACCAAAAAAAGAGACCAAAAAACAGCACAGACATTGTAAAAAATGTGGCAAAGTTGGTCATTACCAAAAAAGCTGTAAATCATAATTTTAATGAGATGGTTCTATCTATATACTTAGTATGTGCTGTATGGCTCAATATGTATATTATTTGAGAAAGCTAATTGTTAAATCATAGTCTAAGTATTACTATTACTAAAGTCGAGTGCAGTCTGGGTCAATTTGGTTAATTTACTTAAAATCTACATCAATAATGATAGTACATATATTATTGTTAGAAGATTTGTGTTTTCGTATCTTATTGTTTTACTTCATTTGTCAATTTAGCATATAACTACATCCTGCTTTAAATAATAAGTTATATTTACTTGGCTTATGGACACAAAATAGCAGAATTAGTATATTAAGGCACTTGAATTTTGGTAATATTAACCATCAAAGTGCGTGAATTGCTAAGTTTATAGATATCAGTCTTAGCGTTGCTAATAATATATCAAACATATGATGTAATTGTTTTTTAACTATTAGTAACGTTGGAGCCAAGTTCTTGATTCTAATACGAACATGTATGTGGGCACTAACTTTGATACTAATTTGTATGCATGTATGTTGCAGTGAAAATAATATAGCAGACGCCCGATTTGTCACATCTAAAATTTTGTCATATGATTTTCATAAATTACACAAATCGACGAAATTACAT